TATATATATATATATATATATATATATATATATATATATATATATATACATACACACACAGAGAGAGAGAGAGAGAGAGAGAGAGAGAGAGAATAAATAGCATACTGATAATCTGAGAAAGAAGGCCATGATATAGGAAACAGCCTTTGCAATATCTGAAATGTTAACATTGATATACTGCTACTCAGTGCAATAAATTTGTCCTTCTAGATAATATTCACTGGAGTTCTACAACATCTAATAATTCAGGAGTGCTTACTTCCAGATAAATGCATAAAAAAATTTAGCCTTAAAAATGCCCCTTTTCTTTTGTAATTTATCTTTTATGCCAACTGTTTCCAGACTTTCATTATTTTTGCTTTATAAAAGGCCCCTTAGGAATTTCTCTTGTGAACGCTTTATGGCCTCCTGAGGAATACATCATGCAGATTTGCTTTTGGAAGTTTCTGATGCTCATCAGTGCAAATGAGAGAGTGAGAGGAAAAGGATATTTGCAAATTCTCTCATAGAACTGTAATTATAAGCAAGGAAACAAAAATGGGTTTAGGCTTGGTACGACGATTCTGTATACTCCAGTTTCACCAGCCACTTTTCTGCTAAACAGCATACATTTAAAATACCGTTTGTCTAGAAGCTATTCCCTTAAGACATGTATCTTATTATCTTTCCTGAATTGCCTCATATATGTGGGCTACTTTAGTATATGATTTGGAAGGTTCACAGATGGCAAAAAATATAGATTGCTTTGTTTGGAGGTAAATTTCTTTAAGATTTCACAGCTAATCTGAGATCCTCTTCACATAAAATCTTTGGATTTATATTTTTGAATATGATGGTATGTCTGACTTCAACCAAATTTACCCAGGAAATTACTGAGATTGGGTAATTAAGTTTGCAGCCTTCTGTATATTTTAACACTGCCAGTGCTAGAACAAATAATTTAATGAAACTCAAAAAAACAGCTTTGAAGAACATTCTGTGATTTATCATTTGGACCTGGAGTATACAGAAGACCTTGAAGTACTTGTCTGTTTCTAATTTTTATGAATTTCTATAATAACTGAGGCTTGCAGTGCAAAGCCAGGCCAATGTGTAACTTTTATTTACAATAAAATATAATTTTCAGCTAGTTATGTGTGCTACTACATCTTGTATTATTGGAGGCTGCTTGAATATCCAAGTGCTCAGTAGCTCTATTCTGCAAAAAACATACTATGAATTCTCAAAATAGCCATACTATCATAGTGTGATAGTGAAAATTGTCTCACACTTTTTAAAACTCAATAAGTTATTTCATCAGATGTTCTTTTTGAAATCCACAACCAGGGAAATGAAGCATTCCTATGTGGTTTTGAATTGTGGGATTTGTTTAAATGTGAGAAAGGTATACTTAGCACTTTTAAAGATGCTCATCATCTTTCATAGCCTGCTAAGCACATTTTTCGGTATATTCTCGAATGTAGGCACCAAACACTATATCTTTTATTAAGGAAGATATGTTTTAAAGCTGCTGAACATGCCATCTGACATGCTTTTTATGAATTGTGTGTGGACCACAGCTTTTCTTCTAGCCAGTGATATTAAACTCCTGTTTTTTTAATGCATACAATGATGACTGGATTGTTCTCCCAGGCAAAACATGTTTCTTGTTCTTGTTTCAAGAAATCTTTTGGAAACTGAAGTAGAAGTTGCACATTTTCATCTCTCAAAACTTTCATAAATGACATCAAAGAAGAAAAGCTCAGAAAACCTATATTACAAAAATAAGACAGTGCAGCTCTGGACACAAACACCACAAATGTACTTCAGCTTATCACGTACCACTGAAAAGGCAGATATAAAAGATAGACACTGAATTCTTCCCCAGAGTTTAAGGCTGAATGGATAGAACATAGCTGATGAGAACTAGGATGCAAGGTCTGCAGTCCCCTTTCAGACTTAAGTTCCTCATGGTTTTGGACTAATAATACATGCTTCTGTAACTGCTAAAACCAATTCTAACCCCACAACTTTTAATGTCCAGGGGTGTCTTTTATATGCCTCCTTGAAATTCCAAAAGTTGTATTTTCTATTTCGTTGTTTGGAATTTCTAAAGCTTGAATATATGCATCTTTACTTTACCCTAGACATGTATGGGGTCTGCAGCAGAAGCTCACAGCCTCCCCATAAGAAAAGATAACAGGCTACATTCAGGATTCTAAGTAAATGCACAGTCAGAATTCAACATGTTGCCTATTTGCACAATTTGTTTATCCAAATGGCCAGATATTGGGAATAGGTAATGCTCCATCTTCAAAACTGGATATAAAAAGAGTATCTAAGAATTGGTTAAAGCCTGTTGGAAAAATTCCTTTTAGTTGAACTTCAAGAGTAAGGAAAGCAACATCCAGGTCAACCTGTTAGGATACTGATTGCTAAAAGGGAGACGGGTTGTATTTTAACATATTATATGGAATAAAGTTTAGTCATAGACTTTTGACTAAGGAGATGTACAGTATGAAATATCACATTTACAGCTTGTCTAGTCAAACTGTTTAGCTACAATCCTAACTAATTCCATTACTAGTATGGCCTGATCCTCTTTATAGCATTAGTATTCCTGCTTTTCCATGAATAAAGCAAAATTTCCCATTTATCAACATGTCTGTAGTTTTTTGGATGCTTAATTCTTTCCACAGTCCATTAAATCTATGGTTCATTCCTACTTAGTCTTTCCTGCTCCTAGCCATCTTGCAATTACCCCTGCTCTCCATCAGCTCAGTTCATCCCCATATCAAAGATCTCAAAGTGGGGAACTATAGGCTATGGGTCATGCTGTATCTGTACCATTCTCCACCTCTTTCTGCAGCCACAGTTGCTTGTGCTGCTTGCGTCCAAAACCTTCGTCATAGTTGCCTTTGCTCTTGAACAGCTGCTGGTAATGTGGCTTGCAGTAGAATTCCCCATGGAGAGCTGCATAACTACCCAAGCTGAATAGAAATAAGAATGAGTTAGGGTTTACTACAAAAGGGCTGAAAAATGGAAGAAAACTAATATACCGTATTTGCCGGCGTATAAGACGACTTTTTTGCCCTGAAAAACATGCCTCCAAGTGGGGGGGGTCGTCTTATACGCCGGGAGGACTCCGACTCCCACTTCGAGCTTGAGTTGCAGCCGGGAGGGAGGCTGGGGGGGGGGAGCGGTGTGTGTGTGTGTGTGTGTGTGTGTGTGTGGCGGGTGTCACTCGCCACGCGCTGCGCAACCTTTCCCCCTCTTCCTTCCTTAGCGGTGTGGGGAGGAGAGGATTCGAAGATCCTCACGTGCGGCGTACTTTTCTTTTTCTTTTTTTCTTTTTGCACGCAGGTTTTGCATGCGGGCGGCTGTAGGTTAAGGATGGGGGAGCCCCCGGGTGGGTTATCAGGTTTTACGGTGCTTCCAACATGTGCGAACGGTGGGAGAGCGGAGAAGAGAGCGAGCGAGCGCCCCGCTGTGTGAAATCCTGCCGTCAAAGCAACACTGGGGGAGGCAGGGTATAAATTTACCAGGTTAATGTAGCAATGGTGATTAATGCCCAGAACATTGTTTGCGGGTATTGGGGTGTGTGTGTGTGTGTGGTGGTGGTGAGGAGAGGTTGTCCTTTGAATGCGGAAAAGTAGGTGTGACCTTGTAGGAAAATAAAGAGATCCTTTTTAGCGTGTTTGGCTTCTTTGCCTCCCCTCGTTCGTTTTGATGTGGAGATAATGGCCTTCGAGCGGGAGGGGAAGAAAACGGTAGCTGGATCATTTCAAATTTCACTTACTCTCCTGCCTCACTTCAATATGTCTGAGTGACTCCAGATACTGGAAGACTTTTTGAATGAAAGTGTTACCTCCATTTTTTTTTTTAAAGAGGGCCACTTGGGGAAAAAAAAGATTCTAAGGAATTCCTTGTTTCTTGATTAAAGAGAAGGCATTGAATATACTGTTCCTTGGCAGCCTTTTCAGTGTCCGGGTTTTTGGTGTGTGTGTGTGTGTGAGAGAGAGAGAGAGAGAGAGAGAGATCAGCTGTATTGAGAAGAGAACGTTTCCTGTGTTCTCATTTTATTTACAACATATTTTACGCTTAATGGTAAGCAATGAAAAATATTTTTAAAACTCATTTCTAAACTCCATAGCTATTTGCATATTCTTGGTTCAAAATTGGATTAGCTCATTTCAAAATTGTCCAAAGCAGAAAAGTGCGTCAAAAAAAAAAAAAAGTGCAAAAGTGGAAGGTGTGTGGAAGAGGGGGTAGTCTTATACGGCGAGTATATAACAAACTCTATATTTTGAGTGGAAATGTTGGGGGGTCGTCTTATACGCCCAGTCGTCTTATACGCCGGCAAATACGGTAATGGCAGTTATACTATAAAAATGAAACTTACGAGTCTACTGCTGTGCCCTTCCTGAGAATTTGCAACATAGCATCTTTCAGATTTTGCCATCATCATATGTACTAATAGGAGCATGAGATCTCACCCCACAGAGGAAGTATAATTATTGTACTATAATTCAGGAAAAAGAGCTGCAAAGTCATTTAAATGTTTAAATGCCATAAGTGCTTATATTTCTCCATGTCAGAATGCAGAAAGAAGCCTAATTTAGTATTGTTTTTTCCACAATTCCTACTAAGCTTAGTAAAGACTTGATTGATGTAAGCTCAATGTCCAAATGATTTTCTTGGCAAAGCACAGAATTATTTTGCCATTATTTTTTCTGAGATAATTTTCAACTTCAGTTTACCTTCGGGTACAAAGCATGCCCAACTCTGCTTAACTTTTTCAAGATCAGCTGAGATCCTCTGCAAGTGGATATTTTTTTTCTTATAGTGGAGTCTTCTGTTTCATTTGTTTTAACAGCAGACTGAGAAAACATTAATGCCTTTCTCCCTGTGCTTTAAATGTTAAAAAGTGTCTAAAGATGAAAAATTGGGACCTTAAGGAACTTTGATATGATTGCCCTTCAAGGGGAAAAAATACTGCTCTGATTCAAGCCAACCATATTTTGCACAGTCTGGGTAACATTCAGTACATGGTACAGAGGCTGAGGAAAAAATATGAGATGTCATATCAAAACAATCTATTCCCAGTTCTTTATTAGGCTGCTAAATGAGGTGGAGGGAATTATAATTAATGGTGGCCATTGGGAATGATAAGAGTCAACAACCAGGAGATTGACCCACATATTCCCTTTACATTGCTCCCTCACACAAAGCAAAATAGAAAACTTTCTCACTTTTCCCTTACCTTAGCTTGGTGTGGCAATGCTTACAGCAAAAGCAGTAGTTATGGAAGACAAATTTATCAGCCACCAGGCGCTCCATAGGATAGACAGTTTTCTGGCAGGCATTGCATGTCTCTTTCACCTGGGCCTTCAGGCTGAATGACTGGATGACAAGAGTAAAAGGTGATGTGGGTGAAAGTAAGTTCCAGGAGAGGAGGCAGCAAGGGAAGAGGAACAATGTACAATTACCAGTGATTTAATTGTGAAGATACAATTTCAAAGCAGTCTGAATACAGCATACTTGACTTGTATGCCAAACTTCAGTTATGTTCAGCTAATAGTAAATAAAAGCAGTCTTAAGAGGCACCCTGGTTTAATATTAAGTATTTTAATAGCTGAAATAAGTAGTTTATGGAGAATGTTCCAAATCTAAAAGTACAGGAAGCTGGAATTCAGAAGGAAATATTTAATAATAGCAATAGCACTTGGACTTATATACCATTCTGCAATGCTTTACAGCACTCTCTGAGTGGTTTATAGAGTCAGCATATTGCCCCCAACAATCATTTTACTCTCACTTCAGGAGGATGGAAACCTGAGTCAACCTCAAGATCGAACTCCTGGCAGTGGGCAGAGTCAGCCTGAAATACTGCATTCCAACCACTGCGCCACAAATATTTACTTAGTAGAAACCAAAATGTTGTGGAAAATCATTGCAAAGGACTTATCACAAGCACAATCCTCAATCATAATTTTTACACCTTTTTTTCATTTTAAAACACACATGGAAATCCATATTCTGAATTCAACTGGCATTTAGGGAAGATATTTTAAAATACATCTAAAAAGAGAGCTTTAATTTTCAAAACTGAGGTTTAAAAATAATAAAGAGAATGATTACAAACTCTGCTTTAAATTTTGTTTCTGTGTGAGGGTGAATTATTTTATTGCTGTTTTCATATATTCTACAAATATGTTGCACAGTAGGATACAAGAATGTGATCTGAAGAGATGATAGGCATTACCTTTGACAGTTCTGCTCAGTTTTGATAGGCACATCAATTCTGAGCCTTTTAGGATCAGGATGGCCTACTAACAGTGATTCACACAGTATGTCTTACATGGTGCTGTCTGTCCTTAAAGAGGAGTTAGAATGAGAAACTGCAGTTAACAGCAATCTTCTCACTTGTATTTTGACTCAAGCAAAACTCTGGTTATTTCATTAATATCTGTGCTTATTTAAGTATTTCAATTTATTATTAAACAAAAAGCTAGAAAGAACAATTTCATTAATAAACTGAATGTCCAAGAGCCAAATGCAGTATTCCTCAACCTTGACTCTTTAAGATGTATGGACTTCATATTGTATTTCAGAGTTCCCAGACAGCATGAAGTCTCATTCCAGAATGCTGACTGGGGAACTGTGGCAGTTGAAGTCCACACATCTTAAAATTGCTAAAATTGAGAAACACTTTTGTAATAGAACTACTTGGCTTCCACGTAGGATTTCTTGAAGCCAAGGTGGACAGATTATCTGAGGCCTTAGTTGTGGTCACAGAATATGTAGAGGATAGTAGCTTTTTGTGTATCTGAGCAAGTTCTGTTTACCAATTCAAAATATTTTCTTTTTCTTTTGTAATTTTATTTATAGTTTTTTTCTTTAACATCCATAAGTGCTTAGTGAACAATGTATTGTTTGGGTTGATATACTAAACAGTACTAATAATGGTACTGTTTAAATATACATAATCATCATCTTTCAACTTCTAATATTTGTGTATATATTATAGTTATAATATACTCTATTATATATCAATATATATAATACTGTTTTCCAAATTTTTACTTTCTACATCTTTATTCTAACTTAATAAAATAGCCACCATATTAAGAAGTATTCTATATCTATCCGTCATCTCTTGCTTTTTTGGGAATTTCAACTCTTATTGACTTTTTGGTAAATCTTTCATGTTTTTCCCTTGGGGTCTTGTATTTTCTTACTTCACGCTTATTTAATCTAAGTATTTCATCTACTTCATCTCTTGCTGTTGAATCTCTAGAGCACCCATCCATAATTCTTTAATCACTTTTGGGAGATCTTTCTCTTCATTCCCTTCTATATTTTGAGTTCTTAAAGAGTAATCTATCTGTTCCATTTTAAGAATTATTACTATCTCTTCCATATCTTTATCTACTTGTGTCATTTTTGATTTATCTCTATTTTTTCCTCAGCTCCTTCTGATTTCTCCTCTATTTTCTGATTTTTTTTGTTCATATTTTATTATCATTTGCTGGGGGTTTTCTAGTCTCACATCTGTAGCCTGCATCAGTTCCATCATCTCTCTATGATTCCTTGTCATATCTTCCTGAACACATTGAAACATCAATAATATTTCTTTATGAACTGTGATTGTTTTCCCCTGTTGAAACATTTTGTAATAATTTAATTTACTCAAGATTCCACCAAGATTCCAGTACCCCAATTGCCCAAAAACATCAAAAATGCCAGTATTAATAAAGTTTACTTAATAGAATAGACTAGACTAGACTAGACTAGACTAGAATAGAATAGAATAGAATAGAATAGAATAGAATAGAATTCTTTATTGGCCAAATGTGATTGGACACACAAGGAATTTGTCTTTGGGGCATATGCTTTCAGTGTACATAAGAAAAAATAAAACACATTCATCAAGAATCATAAGGTACAACACTTAGTGATAGTCATAGGTTACTATAAGCAATCAAATCATACATAGGTTACTAATACGCTATCAAAACATACTAGGAAAATGAGAGGGCGGGGCTGGCGTCGCGACGATACGGCATGCGATCTTGGAGGTCTGAGATCGCTGCCGATATCTTTGCTCCTGGACAGTCCAATCGGATCTAAACCATCCCAAAGAGACAGTGAATGCAAAGAGCACATCCTGTCGATCCCAGGGATACCACAAAGTTCCTGGTAGATCCAGGAGAAGCTCGTTTTGCCAGTGGCAAAGAGGCAGTCATTAAAGCTGCTGAAGTTGGGACAGCTCCGAAATGGAAGAGAACGGAAAGAGAAAGTGTGCCGGTTTGGTGAGAACTTTTGCTTTACTTTAAGATTTGAAGGAAAAGAAAGAATCTGTAAAAGTTTTGACAGAAGTGATTAAGCGGCGATTTTAAACAGGAATGTCAAAGTAATATTTTTATCTTTTTTTTTTTTCATTGCTGGATTTTCTACACCTGATTTTATATTTTGAAACTGGACTGTTTTTTTTTTTCTTTCACCTATTCTTTCTCTCCTTTTTGACTTTATAATATTCTAGGCCAGAGACTTCCTTTTAGTCATCTTTTTTAATATCTTTTTCCCTTTTTAATTAATTTTTATTATATTTTGTTTGGAAAAGGAGGGGGAAAGTGAAAGCAAAGAAACTTTGTAACACTGCCAACTAGAGGCTTGGAAATATTCTATTTCTTTTTCTTGACCAGACAAAGCTGAGAAAGAACTGAGACTTCTTTTCAAGGACATTGCTATTTGATAAGATAGAGGGAAGAGCATGGGAGAGTATTATTGCAGATGCTCTTCTGGGTTTCTATCAACAGCTGGAGTTTGGTGTTGAAGCTAATCAGGAAAAAAAAGGTGATAAGACTCTGGAGAAGAGAGTTATAAATTTTAACAAAAGCCTTGGATAATCAAACTAGGTGCAGTGTGCGCTTTTTTTTTTTTAAGCTGCGCTATTTCTTACTTTAACAAACCCCCTCCTTACTAGTTTACTTTTCGTAATAGCTATTTGGATTTTTGGCCTTTTGGAACTTGTTTTTGTCTTTCTTTTTGTTTTTTGAAGTCAATTTTTTTACGTTTGCATTTTATTTTAAAGGAAAAGCTTTAGTATTAATGATTTCCTTCCTTTTCTTTTTAAGGGTTTTTAAGTCTCTTTTCTTTTTTTTCTCTCCCTCCCTTGTATTTTTTTTTACCCTCCATATTGGTTTTTTTATTTTTTTTATTTTTGTAGCTTTCTTTTTTTTTCTTATGCATCCTTTTATACCTGAGACCTCTTAATTGGATTAAGGTGTTGAAGAACCTGAAGAACTTTCCTTTTCTCTTTTTTAGTTTTTTACTTTTTACTTTTCTGCCTTTTTCAGGATTTAACAATTTTTTCTTTTTGGTGTGTGTTTATCGTCTTTTCTTCCATTTTTGAGTTTTTACTGCTATCTAGCCAATCGATTGGATTAAGGTATACAGGAACCTGAAGAAATTTTTTTATTATTATTATTGCTACTATTTGGTTTCTTTTTTCCTACTATTTTTATTTGGAATTGCAATTGGTTATTTCACAAGTGGATTAAGGTCTAGAAGAACCTGAAGATTTTTAATTGTCCGAAATGAGTAGGAAACTAACAGCCCCTGGTTCCTCAACTTCTACTTCTTCCTCTTCACCATCTGGAGGACAACGTTCAATACAGACAATGTTACAGCAAGAAAAAGAACAGAAAAAAGTGACCCTGCAGATGATTATGCAAGGAATTCAAAATATTCAAATAAGAACAGAGAATATTGAAAAGAGAACAGAGAACATTGAACAAAGAAAAGGGAAAACTGATGAAAAGGTGGAGAACATTCAATAAATGATGATGAAGTATGATGAGAGATTCCAAAAAATTGAAGAAGAAGACAAATAAAGAGATAAGAAGATTGGAGATATTGATAGCAGATTAACTGTAGTTGAACAACATAAAAGTGGGATGCTGAGATGGGAGATGGACAGATCAGAATTTTATCTCAGATTCCAAAACATAGAGGAAGAAAAGGGACAAAACCTAGCTGAGATAATGATAGAAATTTTGGCTGAAGCTTTGGAAATTACTAAAGAGAAGATGATGGATGGAATAGATGAGGTTTATCGAGTCTTCACTAGATATGCAATGAGAAATAGCCTACCAAGAGAAGTTCACATCAGATTTACAAAGAAAGCCATTAAAACGCAAATATTGCAAGAGAGAAAACATTGAAATATAAAGACAAGGAGATTGTGGTCCTGAAACAAGTACCCAGAAGAGTGAGAGAGATGAGAAGAGAACACTGATTTCTGACCAAAATGCTACTTAAAAAAGAGGTGAATTATAGATGGCTGATTCCAGAAGGTTTAATGTTCACATGGCAAGAACAGAGACATAGAATTGACT